CTCCTGTGCTATAGTCCTTCCTTCCAAAGCCAGATCTCCAAGATGAATTTCTCAGAAGTTCTGTCAGACTCATCTTAGGTATTCTGATCATTACTCAGTCCAGCAGCAGCCTTTCCAAAAACCCCTCTAGTTACAAAGGGTTAAGGTCAGACCCACGTATTCAGCAGCCACATGTTCCAGAAAATTAACAGTTAACATAAAATAATTGGTTTTATTCCTTTGGTACTACTCAGTACTTATGGCCTCTCAGTATGGGTCTATGTTGCAGAATATAGCATTAAGCAGAAGTATCTTAGTTTTTAAGGAGTTAATTCATATGCCAGAAGTTATTTAGTTGTAACAGTATGGAACTTGGCACAGAAGAGTTTATTCTATGGGGAAGCACTCACACCAAAACAAAGGCATCAAGTTTAACTACAATTAGTCCTTGCAGACAACATACTCGGGAGTTACGAACAGCTCCTCAGTTTAAGTATTTTTTAGTAGTTAGTAATTACTTTTAATAGCTGAACCAACAGCAGTATATCCACACACACTGCACCCAACTGAAGAGTCACAACTTAAGCTGGTACAATCTTGCTTGAAGAGAAGCATTAAATTGGCACCAGTCTGTGCGCAGACAAGGCCTTATTTTTTTCTTTTCACAACAGTACTTAGAGCTTCCTACCTCACTTCTACCTCCTGAGCTGTAGCTCCTCTCTCTTGAGTACACTACATTGTCCCCCTGCTCTCTATAGTCGTATATTTTCTTTCCTTCCTGCCTTCTTATTGTTATTTCAGAAATAAACAAATAACACAAGAAAAAACAAAACAAAAAAAAAAAAACCAAATTATGTATGCTATAGTCCTAGCATTTTGGTATGTGAATGACACTCCCTGGTGATGGGCTCCCACTATCACTGTATTGCCTTTAAAAAGTCTCCATATTTTGTTAAGAGGTGTACAGGAACAAAGCAGTCCAAGCGCCCTTTGCGTGTCAGATCTTTAACTACACGAGCAAACACTATTCCCTTTGTGAACAGGTCTTGGGTGTAGAAAAGTTCAGCTGCAGAAGAAATGAAGAAAACTGCCAGGGGATAATAAAAGGAAGATTGTATCACCAGAGCCAAGGCTCTACAAACCTGGCCTCCCACTTCCAGGAGGTGGCAGCATTAAGTTGCCTCTGTCATTCACAGCAGGAGAGGTACCACATTGTGCTTCATGAAACACTTCAAGTCCCACTTATTAACGATTTCTATGAAATACTAGTATCAAATTTAAGATACTACACTAGCCAGCTATAAATTCATACTATTTATCTGTCTGAAGTTAAGTAAACAGAAGTTTAGTGGCTTGGTGTGACAATGAAGTGCTTTTTACTCAGGAAGTTCTACCACAAGAACAATAATTAGAAACAATTAATGCTTATTTTTTATGCTCTTCACTCTCCTGTACACCTAGTAACTTTTACCAATAACTGTAATTAAGATGTTTAAGTGGATGTAAACTGCTTTTGTGGTTCACTGTGGAAAAAAAACAAAACATGTTTATATTATGCTGTTTAAAGTTTGTCTTCCTCCAGTATAATCACAAGTAATGCTTCCTGTTATTGTAAAATGTATGTTAGTCTGCTAACAAAATGGAAATATTTCAGAAATAATTTTGGGTGGTGCTTCCCCACAAAAACCTAGATGATCCTACCAGACAAATGAGAGTCTGTTTTACTTTTGTTACGAATTTTACATCTCCTTTGATATGACTTAAATATTGATAATTAACACCAGCTCACATGACAAAATCAGGACTTCCATCACAGCCTAATCTCTGAACAACAATGCTCCTAAATCTCAACAGTCCATTGTATTAATCTGGAAGCTAGGGTGACATTTGAAATTCTATATAGAAGTTGAACACTGCATATTAAGATAATACCAATTTTCCTAATGAAATTAAAAGCAACACTTCTGAAAGGGAGTGCAACACATACCTCATTTCTTCTTATATGTATAGTTCAAATACTGCCTGCAACTTTAAAGGTACTTGTACTTAATATTCACTTATCAAAATAAGTTCAAGGTATTTCCCATTCTAGATATTACATGAATAAATAGGATTATTTTCATTAGGAATATCAAGATGTTAAACAGTGTCATTAACCAGGCTCCAGATTTTGGTGTACAAAGTCAATTCCAAGTCCAGCCCTAATTCACCTCCAGAAAAGCTACAGAAAAAAAATCAGGAAGTGAAGAAACATGAACTAATGGGGTAACAGAAAAATAAATCACTGTTCTATGCAACTGCATACTACTAGCACCAGATATCCTTCTTTTTGAAATGCAAAACAGGCTGGGAGGAGAAAAGGGGGCTTGGTGGCATGGTTTAGATGCAAATATACTGTGTGCCTCTAACACGCAGTACATCTGTAAGAATGGCTTGATTTTCTTCTTGCTACTACTTAATAAAACTAATGTCATATGTAACAACAGAATCTTGTATCTGACAAGTACAGAGTAAATGTATTAAGTAAATCCATGTCTGAAATATCATAAACTGACTGATGGAAAGAGTATTAGAGAGAGTAATTCTGCTAATCACGTTAAGTTTCCTTAATTCCTAAAGGGTTTCATGCACTGAAGTCACAAATAAGGATTTGCAGATCATGGCTTGAAGTTCTGGCAGAACGCAGGTGGTATTTTGAAATACCATGAAATATGGAAGAATGCCGTCCTTAGTCTCCTCTAGGCGACCTTAAGTCCAAATATTAGACACCTAGATGTCTGAACTAGTAATCTGAAACATCTTTCATAATCAATGTTCAGAAATAAGCATTTCTAAACAGTGAGTCACTTTGTTCTAACATTAGTGCCTAAACCAGATTATATGTTTCGTCCACTGAAGGTGTTTTTCTTGACAGACTAGCTCAGACTTAGAGTTCTAACTCTTAAGATACCCAAAGTGAAGTGAGATGATTCTCACAGACGTCCATAATGCTACAGCTTCTATGTTTTGAACAGCATATAAAGATTTGCTAAATGAAATCTTGAAGAATACTCTTAAAGATGATACAACAGCAGCTTCTCAGGAACATTACAGATCAAATCCATCCAGTCAAAAAGTAGGGTAATTTTTTTTCAAAAATACACAAACAATTTATCTGGGAATTCAGTAATGGCACAGAGTTCCCACATATTAGTACAACTTACCTTAATAACAGCAATCTGAAGTTCTTCCTTGCATTTGATATGAGAGTTCCTCATCACATGAACTAAGTTGTTTTCTACTTGTTAGTAAAGTCTGGTATATACACATATTTTTGAATGAATTTAACAATTTAGCTACAGGAATCCCATTTTCTACTGGAATTGGTTAAACCTGTATAACTTCCAGTGTGGTAAAACTTAAAAGCGACTCTCCTTAAAAAACCTTCAAACTCCCTGCCTCAAAACCTGTATTCCTGTCTCCTAGAAAAAAACCCTATAGCAATAAGGACATTTTAACTGATATGGTTACATGGACTCCTGCAAATATATTGAGACAGAAAGTGTAATAAAAATTTGTTATGTAGAATAAATCCTTATAGTTTCATGTACATATTTCTCTCCTAATTTTAGTTATGTTTAAAACACTACTGTTTCTCACAAAAAAGCTACAGCTTCTTTAGAAGAAACTTAAAAAAAAGCTCAAGTTTATCAAAATATGTATCTTAAGAGTTCACTATAAAAAAGCACAGGGCCCAAGTAACAAAATATGCAGGGGAAAAATTATAACCATTTAAAGATTTGATGTGGGTAAATACATCTAAAATATACCTAGTCAATTTACTATGTGCTACAACAATAAACAGCAATTCAGGGTAGCTGGAGTTCCCTCAGTGTTTAAAAATTACATCTAAAAAAATCTCATCTTAAAGATAATCTATAAACTTATCCGTTACTTTACATATGATGTGTTTAATAACTACATTTATTTCTGAAAATAAAATGGAAAATTGGCTAACATGTGGTTAAGAAAGCTGTGAGAACTGAATTTCTGAATTCATTAATCATCAAGGGAGTAAACATTAGGCACCAGGTCATGTGTTTTGTAGATGTGAAATGTAAGATTTCACCTGAAGATCCACAACTGCATTGTAAGACTATTTAGCTGGAGTAAATAAAAAAAATGTCATTAGCAGAAAGACTTGTTCAGGCTACAAAGCAGCATTGACTTACCTTTCTATGAGTTACAAGGATGCTATTCAAAACCTGCAAAAATATGCAAGGCAGTATCTCTGCCTAGTATCCACTTAAGATGTGTCCTTGTGTGTGTGGATAATGTGTGAAGTATGAACATATAAATAGAAAGGGGAAAAAGAAAACAAAAAATAAACCAAAAAAGAGTACTGCCTCCCCCCAAACTTAAAATAACAATGGTCCTTAAATTATTTCTTATGAAGAAGAAAAGCAGCAGGAAGAACTTGGATATACTTGACAGTTAAAAGCTGTTTGCAGAAGTGTAAAGTATTGTTGGATACCACGTTGAAGATTTCGTTCTCGGCACTAGCACTGAAAATGCAAGACCTGAGAGAAAAGTGCCAAATCATAATTACAAAAATACAATTCAAATCAGTACAGTCAATTGCTGATTCACAGTGCACACTGTGCAACCTTTTTGTAAAACTTAACACAAGTGTAACAATACTTACCTTTTCTAGGTTAGAAACAGTTATTGTCTTTATAGGAAAAAATTAAAAGCTTAATCATGTAGTTTTCATCCAGAAATCAGCTGGGTAGATTGACAGGTTCTTAATCATACAACTGTCATATGATACAAATGAAACTTCTAAACATGTCTCCTATTTGTGTGTATCTCTGTGTGCGAATCTTTGAAGGTCGAGAAAAATAGTTTGGTGCCATATTAAGAAAGAAAAAAAAAAACCAAAACCCAAATCCTAAACTCCCTAGTCTTGCAGACCCAAATATGGATGGGTATTCAAAGAAAATGTAAATGATTATTCAGGAATATCCCTATGCGATACATACATTTGAACAACAGTGAAGATGAAATGGCAGCAGTCCTTTCAGGCTTTACAGCATTGTAATTATGATCGCTTGCCCAGGACGGCGTGGTGTTTTCTGCTGTTGGTTCTCTAGCAATAGGTTGAGTGTTTGCCTCAGTCTTCGCAGTTGTCAAAATAGTCTTCTTCACATTCATCTCCCTTTTCTCAGGAAATTGTCTCTTTTGGTTTGAAAGAGGCTTAGTACCTGTCTGTATGATTAAAAGAAGCTTAATTACTAATAAACATAAAATATATTTTACAAAAAAGCAGAGATATAGTTACATACATGTATTTCATCTTTTTTATAGTAAACTCCTGTAAATATACTTGAAATTAGGTACTTTCACATTCAAGTTCATAAAGCAAAATATTTACACATTTTTACACAATATTACACATTTTAAGTTCAGGAAAAGAGAATGGGAAAGAAACCACCTCAAAACAATTGTATTTATCATTAAGTTATGGTTGTGGGGTTTTTTGTTTGTTTGTCTGAAGAGCTACTACCCATTTTGTAGTGGTTTCAAAAGGGAAAGGAGAAGGCTTTGATTTTATCTTTTTCCTTCCCAGAGAACAAAATTCAATGCAGCCACATTAGTTCCCAATTCACAGTAATACCAAATTACTCCCCAATGCCAGTAATCTGGAGCTAAAAAGGTAAGATTAATTTGGAATTAAAATAAAAAGGTTTACTGTTAATATGTTTTATTTTAAAGGTAAAATAATTTGGAATTAATTCAAATAAATTTTTCTTTAAAAAATGCGCTGCCATCTAGAAGGTCCTTTTAAGAAACTATCTCTATCTAGAAGCAATTATTAAGATTTTCTAAAAGTGACAGAAAAGCATTTTATTTGCAAAAGAATTTAAAAGTGCATTTACCACAGAAAAAGGCAAGACAACAAAAAAATGTAACAGAAAGCTCCTTTTCAATGCAAGACTTGGTAATTTTATTTCTCTGAAAAAGGAGAGCAGAGAAATAAGCCACTGTGCTCCAGGACAACTGTTCTGGCTGATGAACATTAACTTACCTGCACTTGAGATTTTGGCACACCAGGTTTTTCAGATTTTGGTTTGATCTTCTCTTTAGGTTTTGGTTTTGCATCTTTGCCAGCACTTAAAAACTTCATGGTGGCCGCAGCGTGTTTGAGAATGCAGTCATTGCTGCAATACACAGAATCAGGCTGAGCCACATTAAAACAGCCAGGACCGATGCACTTTGACGCACCAGGAGCTTCAATTACCTATAGATTGAAACGGAGTGAGTTCAAAGAGGAAACAACAGAAACATTCCTCTATAACATGTAGAAATGCTCACACATCATATGTACAGACCACAGCTATAACTGTTAGTGACTTGCACAATTGCCAGCGTGAAAACAACTTTCAGTCATGATACAGCAGAAACAACCCATATAAATGTAAGAATTTCACTCTTGTAACACACTATTTTCAGAACATGTTGTATTTTCAAGTGGTTGTTCTGCTAGCAATGAATTTAGGGAGGCTACTTTCTTAAATTTTCAGATCCCATAAGCACAGAAATGCTTTTTTTCTGATCCTCTACATCATGTGAGAAATCTCCTTAATAATGCAGAACTGGTTTCTCAGGAGGAAGGTTTCTAAAACACATTTTCCTTCTATATCACCATCAGTAGCTGTCCTCAGTCACATGCACATGCATAAGACAGCACTCAGCTATTCAGGTGTACAGATAATTCTTGCTCTAGAGGTTTACCAAGTTTAATTTTATAAGTTCCCCACTTACCTAAACACAACCATTCTCCCAGACAATTTTGCCATAACCTAATACTTCTTACACATCAAGAAATTTGCATATGGAATCTGGATTTCTCTCTGCTTCACAATTAATCTCCTTTTATATCAAATTGTTATATACTAAGCACTTCTTCAAATGTTACTATTTAGAAAACAGCACATTCCTTGAAAAAACAGTACATTAGGTACAAGTTTAAAAATATCTGAAAGCTCTTTAGACTCTCAATGTATCACCTCTAGGTATTATGCCTTTAGCCTCACTCTTCTAGATTACTCCTAAAATGTTATACAACTGACCTAACACTTGGAACTACTGTAGCTCTAGACAGCCTCTCTCCTGTCAATAAACTGCAATTTGTAATTACCAAAAGTAAGTTTTTCAGGAATATTTCCATTTAAAAAAAAAAAAAAATATTATTTGCATAGTGTGGTTTATTTTTCCCCCATCAAAAGTCAGTAAAACAGCATTATCTGCTGCAGTCTGATAAAACCTGGGTTTGGCAATTTTCCCATAAAAATTAAGCTTATGCTTTAGAATACTTTTCCATCATTTACACACTTAACTATGAAGTGCAAGAAAGAAGTATCAATTCACATTCCCTAAGAAACACCTCAAACTTCAGATTAACTAAGCTGTCATTTCTAATTAAGGGTATTTACTCAGCTGATGACATAACTTTCAGTGCTGATGTCTGTACTCATACAATTTCTAGGAGTTTTAATCACAAACCCAAACTCTACAGCTACAGGTGCTTCTGGACAGCAACAAAAAGAAGCATTTGAGTCTCAAAGTGCTTAGAATTCTGGTGTAAGAGAACAGAAAGAAACTGAATAATGAGAGTGTTCAGTCACTTCAGTAGAGTGATTTCAGCACATCAACATATGAAAAAGCAATGTTCTTTTTACTCAGAACTAGCAGGGAATTCTGCAGTGAGGCAGGGAATTCTGCAGTGAGAGTGGTGCTTGTTTACACAAGCCATGGAGGGGTCTTAACAGAGGCAGGAGAGAAACCATGGGCTAAAGCACAGCCTTGACCATTCAGTTCTCTCCGTTGCACCACCTGGCAAACACAAATAAAGCAGTTCTGGTCCATTTCCAAATGGAAAAGAATACTTAAAATATTAGTTCTTCTGTAAGAGGTAATGAGTTCATTATGTTTTTCTTTCACTAGAGATGCCTAACACCTTTAAATAACTTGTTAGCATGTTAATATCAGAGTAACTGGTGATACTTGGAAGCAGAACTTAAAATTAATATGAGCACTATCAGTGAAACAGATCAATGCCAAAAAAACAAGACTTTCTAAAACTTTTTTGTGTACAAACTACAAATGTATTTGAGCACTATCAGTGAAACAGACCAATGCCAAAAAAACAAGACTTTCTAAAATATTTTTGTGTACAAACAAACTACAAATGTATTTCAAACTGTAATTGAAAACACTCTGGAGAAAAGACTGTTTTCTACACATTTATCTTAAGATAGTAAATATTTACATATGAAGCTCAAATTGTTCTGATGTACACTTTAAGCTCGTTATGCTGATAGGGGTAACTCTGCTATTGCAACTGACTAGAAGTGGGGGAGTGTTCCATAAACATTTTGTAGCAAATGTACCACAACAGAAAGATTCCTCCAGAGAGACACTTACACTCAAACTTGTAATACTTATTCTAGGAATGATTTCAAAGTTTAAAAATAAGGTGTCAAAGAACAAATTCATACAGGAAAAACAGGAATAGATGTAGCATTCTAACAGCAAATACATTAAACATGTTCTTCAAGGAAAATGTTCAAGTTGTTGGTGTCACTACAGCAGCTCAGGCAGGACAAAGCCAACCACTGCAGCACAAGTTTTTAAATTGTATATTGAGCTGAAGAAGCTTCTTTGCCTGTATTTTGACCTGGGAGTGGAACTTGCTATTAACAAAATTTAAGTTTCTATTATATTTTATGCCAGTATTTGTAATAATTCAAAACTCACATGTTTATGTTAAAAAAAGACAGTACAGAACAATTCTCTATATACTACTAACTTGAAGAAGCATCAGGACAAAAATCAAAACTTCAAAAGCCTAATTGGAAGTACAGCTGGATTTAACACCAACAGACACTTGTCAATTTTAAGTAAAAAGTTTCACTACCATTGAAAATGTCCAAAATAGTTTGAGATTATTTCCAAGCTAGTACAAAACAGTCCAGAATTCTAATATTTTAATTACAAGAACACCTTATTATTTGACTTCCAAAATAGTATTTAGAAAGGGCAGAATAGCACAAAGCACATAGTGTGGCATTTCCTTAGATCTACATACAACTTTTAAATTCCCCACTTCAAAATAACTTTTTTTTTTTTAGTTTTAGTTCTGTATTGCTAGAACTATGGATAAATTTCTGCTAAACAGTGATATTTAGTGGGTTGCTCAGCTTCATATTTAGCTTTAAAAAAACCAAGTCAGATTTACAGCTGTACAAGGAAGCCATTGTCTCAATGTACTCAGTGAAACATGAAAAATAAGAAACAATTCAAATACTTACAGGTTGAAATATCTTCAGTTTTTTCTTCCCACTTGGATTTGCAGCTTTTTCAATCCTACCCTTGATTCCTTGGTCCTCAACAGATTTTTGTTCGATTGTTCCTATGCTTGTGAATTCTGTGCCATCCACAGTTACTTGCCCTGCTTTAGCTTCCTGCTGGTCTATTTCTGAAACAGGTTCATCCTGTCCCTGTAGAATGGTGCAGTTTGGACAGATATAGTCCTCACCATTCCTTTCCAACAATCGCCCTCGAGCCTCAGAAATACCCACACAGTCACCATGAAACCATTCCTCACATCTATCACAACATATCATAAACCTGAAAGGGGAAAAAACAAAAAAAGGCAAGGAACAGTAAAACATTGTGAAATGAAAAGGCAATTAACACTCAACAGATATTTCAAGCAGCAGATCTTAAGTACCCCATTAAAGGTCCAATATACTCTTCTGCCTGTTAATTTCTGTATTCATGTTTATCCACTCTTTTCAATATTTGTTATATATTCCCCTCCAAACATCAAACAAACCCAACAGCTCATTTACATGTATTAAACAATTAAGCATCAGCATTTGGTTTGAATTTTTCATCACAGAAAAATTCCAAATACCTGCATTGTGATTTTAGTTGTGACCTTTGCCTACCTGTTGTTATGAGGCTGACGACAAATACAATAGAGTGCGTTTGGGTCATAAATCTCAGATTCAGGTTTGCTTTTGGGCAGTTCTTCGGGTTCTTCATCTGTGATCCCTTTTGTGCCAAGAGCAGGCTTTACCTCAGTCTGAACCTGAAGATCTTCGGTGTCTTCCTCAGTCACAACCACCTGACTGGCAATCTCAGTGCTGTCTGCAGTCTCAAGCTCTTGTTTGACAGGCAACTCAGACTCAACTTGTTTTTCAGACTGGACATCACTTGTTTCTGTAGGGTCTTGCTCTGAATTTCTCTTCCGCAGGCGGTTCTGTATGTCTTTCAATGTTATCTGCACAGGTTTCTGTTCAACTCGTTTCTTTCTTAGTCGATTCTGCAGTTCCTTTAGTGTTAATCCATCACTGTCACTATCAGAAGTATCATCTTCCTCTTCCTCGTCTTCCTCTTCGTCGTCGTCTTCTTCCTCTTTTGTGCATCTGCTTTTAGAGCCTTTCTGATCGTTACTGCTCCTAGTACTAATCCTTCGAGTCACGGGTTTTATATCTGGAGGGCTCTCAACACTATCTTCTGAAGCTGTTTCAGCATCTGTAGCTGGACAGGATGCTGGTTCACTTGAATCTTCCAGAATAGTAGGAACATTCCTCCTTCCTCTGCGTCTGACCGTTGTAAGAAATTCTTCCACCCTTTCTGTTCGCTTTGGTTGCCGTCCGCTACGCCTGAGGTTTAAACTTTGTTGCTGTTGTGGCTGCTGCTCACTAGAGTCCACATCAACATCTCCTGCATTTTCTCGCTTAGCAATTGTAGTCCTTCGAAATCCCCAGGTTTTCCTGAACTCTTTACTTGTAGGCTTGATAGTTTTTTGTTCCTCCTCATTACTGTGATCAGCTTTGTCATCCAAAACTGATGCTAAAAACAAAGGAAAAGTTATTAAACTGGTGGTGAAGGGAAATGTTTATTCTTGTAAGTTTTTTTTCAAACACAGTACTATTTTCTTTGTGATTATATATCTCTCCCTCATTTTATGACCCTGAAAACAGATAAAATGCTTTCTTGTAAGTGTGATACAACAGCAGTAGCAAGTACATCACTGAACACTGCATCAACATAATCCAGCTGCTAGAAACTCTTCTGTTTAAAAATATATGTATATACACATATACACACACACCCATATACACAATGGACAAATAAACATATTTTCTGTTCAATTTAAAAGGAAGAAATCTTACCAGGAGAACTATTTTCCATGTTGTCAGTATTAGATTCAGATTCTAATGACACTGGCTGTGAACTTACAGCTTGTTCCATAGTACAGAAAACACTGTCCCCACCCTGAAAAGCTGAAGAGAAACATAAGCTTCAAAACTCAAGATTCAAAAACACTCATAGCCGAGTAACTACTAAATATTCTGATGTAATCTCATTATGTCATTGTAACAAATACTTAACTCCAATTTCAAGCCACTGATAGTCACTGAATATCAATAAAAAGTTGACTGAATTCCTTCAAAGATGAAGTACTACGTTAACTATACGGGTCTGGACACTACACTGACATACTTTATTAAATAGCCTTAGGATTTCTGATATTTCTCAAAAAAATCCTTCCGTGGTATCCATGTATTCCCTGGGGTTTGTCTGGGGAAAACCCTACAGCAGTTCCACTCCTTACACGGACACAGGAACCATGCATGCCCCAGGGTGAAAGACCATGGAGCAGAACAACCAGTCATCCAAACAGAGTTACTGTTTTAAAGGTGAGGATGGTATTTGGTATCAGTAACATTTTCTGGTAGAAAGGACTATCAATTACCTGCAGCAGGATAAGAAACAAGGTAGAAACAACAGCAAGTTTAAAGAAATTCAAAGCTATTTAGGTAATACAAGGTTAGTAAGAGAGCAACGAGGTTTTGGATTTAAAACAAAATGTAAAACCAGAGAAATACCCCAGTCTTGCTTGTTAAAATAAACTAGGTTTATATCTTGTCTATTAAATTGTTTAGATGCTATTTTAAAGTTGTTTCAGAAACACTGGTGGGTATTCAGGATAAAGCAACACATTTTCCCTTCATTACTTCTCTAACAAGGTTTATTTGATAGAAGAAATTCTAAAGAAAATAAACAAAATAAAAATCTTCTCAAATATCACTCTGGAAAAAAAAATCTGCATTGAATGAAACTTGAGAAATGCTGCTCCTTTACATGGTTATTTTAAAAAAGGTTTTCAACCTATATGACAAAAAAAATCAGCAAAAACCCAAAACCTGTGCTGACTACCAGGATCCCTTTTTTCTCAAAAGTCTTTTTCAGCACACCAGGAGATTCTCTTATTTAAAAAGACAGAAGCAAATGAGAGAAATAAATATAAGATCTGAGATTGCATTTTGAGTAACTCAGGAATAACCCAGTTTGAACAGTATTGAAGCTGGTATTACATCACGGTGTAATGTTTTAAATGAGTTGCATGCCATGTATGCTCTCTTAAATGAACGCAGAAACTATGTTTTGCAGTCACTGCAATTACATTGTTCATGTAAAACTATAACATGCGCTAGTTAGTATGAGTATAAGTAAGTATGAACCTCCATGAACTGGGTAAACAGAACAACACTTGACATACACAACAAGAAACACTCCCCCAGGAGTGCTTCTGGAGTAGTTATATCCGTATTCCTGGCTCAAGAATTGCACAGGTAAGCCAAAAGGGAACATTAACATAACTCCTAAATAACAGTACTTGCTGAAAGAAGTAGATGTTACAACTACGAGGATGCAGAGGCATCCTTTAGCAAGCTTCTCCGAGTCCTGCAGTGTATACTGGTGATAAATGCCTCCTTATTTCATACACTGTACCAGCTGCATTACTGTGCTGCCTTATCAAACACTTTCTATAGTGCAACTCCTCTGTTGCACAGAGCACTGCACTACAATGCTACCACAGGAATGTTATGCTATGGAAATATACACATCCATGCAGATATGTTAAAGAAATTAACACTTAAGTTGTAGTCATTTCAGTGAGATACTATAACTGTCGCTGTAAAAGCACCAGACTCTAGAACATCAATTTAAATAGTAACTGATTAATGTTATAGCCAGAATAAAAAGTGAATTTTAAGCCTGTCGTACACAGGTAAAAAGCTGAAACTGCTCCAATCCAATATGAAATTCCATTAAGTTCCCCTGTAAAAAAATCACTAACTAAAATTGTTATTATTTTTTTTTTTAAAAAAACAACACTAAAATTATATTCACACCAGAAAAAGGCTACAACAGAAGTAAAGGAACAAATAAAAACAGTTTAAGTTTACGTCTTTGTTTACCTTGGAAGATGAACAAATGTTACAAGCTACAAGCAGAGGTAATCCAAATTCTGAGACTTAAATTACAGATAAAAATTAAACAAATAAGATGTCTCTTCAATGTCCTCTATATGCTTTACCTGACACAGCATCAGAGGTTCCAATAGTTTCTCCCTGCAGAGCTGAATGAAAAGGAGAGCCAGAGGAGGGCAGCAAAGGATCAGAGTCATTCAGCATTATCCTTCCAGCACATGCTGAATTTCCTGATTCAGGAGTGCCAGACTGAGTCTCCGAGTCGTCAGTTGGACCAAATACTATCAATCCTCCTTCTCCTGCTGGCTCCTGGGAAAAAAGAAAAAAGAGACAAAATAAGGCACTGATACATTTATGAACTTATAAACTAGTGTTTATATAAATGTGGAATTGTTTTGCCTCTATTACATTATAGAGCAAATTCCATTATTTTGCCTTCTTGACAGTTTTCTACTTTCAGAAAGACACTGAAACTGGAAAGAAAAGTCAAAGTAAAGCAACACCACCTCCACCACTTACCAACAGTTGAGACCTTTGAAATAAATATAAAGTATGATTGTACTCTCATCAATTCATTTAGATCCCATTAAGACTTCCAGAACAGTCATAAACTGTAATCAGTAAGTCTATTCCATTTACAGTATTTAAAAGCATTCTGAGAGTGAGATTAAATAAGCGTGTATTGTGCAATGAAAATGCAGAAATACTTTTAAATGCCATCAACATGCTGAAGGTTACAGTAGGGAAGATTTACCACTTTGTACTAAATTTCATCACAGAAGACAACTGCAGCTTTGAGGATTTAAATCCAAGTGGCTACTCAGTGGTTTTGCAAGGTGGGATAATAAAAATTTATAGCTGAGCTTCAGAATTAAGGAATATTCACTGTCCCTTTCACTAATGAGGTTTCCAATATAGAAAATTTCAGAAGCTTTATTCTAAGGACAGCAGATTGTATCAATAACTACACATCTTCCCAAAAATTAACCCTTGGAAAACATTTCAAAATCCCAAAGTAATTTAAAGTATCTGAAAAACTGTTTAGTCCAGGTGTCCCAATTCATATGCAGAATGGCAATGGAACATCACCCCTGACTGCTCGCTTCTGAGTATTTGAGCTTGAAGATCAGTAGAAAATGTCTGCATTTCACCCAAAGTAGCCTACCAAACTACAGGAACACTGGAAAATAAATTGGGAAGAAAAGGAGGACCCAGATGGACAGGATATAAAACATCACTTTTGAATTGACCTCTAAAATAAATGAGTAAAGACAAAAGGACAATACTGGACAGGTGAGCTGCCACAGCAGGTGTAGGAAATAATGAAAACATTACTTATTCTTCCAAAGGAGTAGAAACTGATCATTAGCACTCTAGGTGGAAGACATACAAATTTAAGAACAGATTAGATAATCCTACTTAGACATGCCAATACACAGTCTGACTATTCTTTTTTAAAAAAATATGTCTTTTTTTCAAATCTCTCAAGTCCCCAACTCTTAAAGTATCTTTGCTGTTTAGAAATGTTTTTTACTTCCTAAGCAACGATGGCTTCTAGGTGTTCTGCAACACCATGACACCGTCCCAAAAATAAGGAGAGTGGAAAAGACAAACCCCTCCCCAAATCTTGATTTTCATCAGTGGATCACTTTACTATTTCATGAACAATAAATCTCAAAATTTGCATGACTGTGGCAAAGCAGAATTAGGAAAAAACCCCATGAGTGCATATATCAGTATTTCTTTCTCCTGTACCTTCTCTATAGGGGATTATGTACGATACTTACACTCCTTCCCTCAGACAACTATTGCCACTCCAAAAAGAGGAGGAAAAAAAATAAATTCAAAAAAAGACAATAGAATCAACTAATTTTAAAAATCCTAGTGCTATATCTCATGGCATTGAATACCTGCTCTACTACGTATTTTGCTCCATTGTCTGAATCAGTGATTATATCCAGGGAGTCAGTCACTGATGGCTGAAGACAGTCTGAGTTTAAATAGCCTTCTTCCACGCTGTTTTTCTGTAATAACCTTTCAATCTCCCTGTTCAGAATCTCCAACTGATCACACATCATGCAATTTTTAAGTGATATGCCTAAAGGAAGAGGGAAAGGCAGCTCATCACTTCTTGTTCAACTCTAATATTAAACTATGAAACAAACTATGCCTCTAGAACATGGAAAAAGTGGATCATATTTGAATAATTTATGCAGCAACATAGTGCAGAATTATTTAAGTAGATCTGTCTTTACAGTGCACAATTATGTATCTGTGCACTCCAGGCTGTGTGTGCAACACACTCTTTACAATTACATTTGAGCCACAGAGCAGATATCACTGAAACATTCCAAAACCAGAATCAGCATCTTCTCTTCTTAGGAGACGTTCTGGCTCACTGAGCATAGTGAGCATTTTACAGTGTTAGTCACACCCCACCCAGTGGCAAGGTACCACACTGTAGTCCACAGCTCTGATTTAACATAACATTGCATTTTTAACACAAACAGCAATTGAAAACTAAGAGATTCTAGGCAAGAATCATGCTTCTTTTTGCATTAGTAGATGTTATTTATTATCTGTATTACTACTATCACTTACAGGAAAAAAAAACTTTAACAGAACTGCAATTTTAAAGCAATTTCAAATTTGAGAGGTATGAAAATGCAGTACATTTAAAACACTAAAATTGCAGACCCCCTACATTTGCTGTGAAATGCTTGGTTGTTTCTTCTTATTTAGTATCTCTATTTTTTCCTGTCCCCACTTGGTCCAAACTATTTTTCATGAAAGACAGAGTAAGTTTCAAACTTTTACATGAATCTGCTCTTGCAGGACTGTTATCTTAACACAGATCAAACTTAAATGCTTATAAAATTACGAGAAATCAAATAGTATCAAAACATAAAAGCACAAAGCTTGAACTCTCAACCACACTTTTAAACCTAGCAAGCTGCTGGCACTTCTAAGCAAACATACTATTAACTGCCTGCAAAAATATTTACTATAACATAAGGCAGCTTTGGGAGTCTTCAAATACCTGTTTCTCTTCCCAACTCAGTATGATTTTTTTTGTTCATTTTGTTCTGTTTGTTCTCAATTTAACTATTCAATTGCAGCTGAGATACCGACAGAAACGTCAGCTGAAGCAGCAAACTGGTTATCTTGTTTTAAAGGAACTCCTAATACAGTGCATTAATCACATTAATCACATTTTTGAAACTGAAAGGCAAAGTTACTGCAGTTCCCCCAACAGACAATTCCCATCATCATCTTCCTGCCTTTCTGACACATCTCCTTTAGAAAGGATATTCCTTTAGAATATTCTATATCTCTGAAAAATCTGAGGCAAGAATCTATAAATTATGGGACAGAAAGGCAAAATAGTGTTAATAATAAATACATATACTGTTTCTTATTCAAAAAGTCCTATAGTTTTGCTTATATTAACAACTCCTGTGATAAGCAATCTCCTCTGTGAAAATCAGCAAGCTTTTAAGACCAACTATAAATTAAGTTAGAAAAACAAATCAAGAGTTTCTTAAAGGAAGAATTTTCTCTTCCCTTCAGAGATGAAGTAACTTTGCCAATACAAACCCCAGGGTGGTTTAAATGGTTACACAACACACAGAGCAGTTCCTCCTTAAACAAAGGATTCACAGTGCTTATTAAATCCATGTTTATGGACTATGAAGAACAAAGTACAACCCTAGCACTACTTGGGCAGCTACTGTCCTGCTGCCCTCTCCCATGGTCAGTTACATGATCCACACCACATACACTCACATACCTCTGCCACAGAAACAGTCACCCAGCTCCTCAGTAAACACTCAGCTGATGGATGCAGCAGAAAACATACCCACCAAAGAGTGATCCCACAGGATTAAAAAAAAAAACAAAACAACAAAAAACAAAACCCACAAGCCATCAGAACTAGTGTAAAGATGTGCAAGAACAGGGCTGGAGAACAAGATGCACTTAAGCAGGCTGAGCTGGTGGAGCATCGTGCTGCCAACTCATTCAACACGTGCACATCATCCACGCAGCAAGCGCTCATCAGATCTCAGCCAGCGGGATTCCATTAACTGCCCCCTCAGTCAAGCTGGTTTTAAGCTTGAAAACTGTAATAACGTGAGCACTGCAGTGAAGCAGAACAGCCACTTATCTCAAAACGGAGCTTAAAGCTGATGCATAGTATCTTAAGAAAGAACACTCAGGTTTTTTCTCCCCCATCACTTTGCAGGTAAAATGTTCCAGTTTCCCCAAAACAAGTTAGGCACTTGAATTCATCCTGGATCTAAATTTCAGAAGCAATCGAAGCACAAAAGTGTCCTACCCTAGGAAAAATCACAGAACAGTTACAAGCTTTTAAATTCAATTTGGTCAACTATTCTCAAGTAGTGACAAACCTGAAAACAAGGGGCTGCTCACTCTGTAAGGCTACAGAAGCCGTCACTGGCATGCAGCATCCCTGTGGATTCTCTACATGGCTTGAAGAAACTCCAGTATCAGCAGCCAATTTAACAAGAGACAGAAATTATATTCCCAAATTCTGCTACCGTATTATCATTTGCTCACAAACACACAATACATATTAAAAATACATCCTCTAACACATCTTCATTAAATAAAAAAAGAGAAAGCTTGTGATCACACCCCATCTTTCTGTAAATATATTATCCCTCTATGTCCAGACAAAACCTCCAGAAAAGCACACTGCTATATCTACTGCCATCTTTGTAACCCCACAGTTCACAAATCTCAGGCAAAAAGGAAGGGAGAGAGATTATCTATGCCAGTAACACAGGGCTGAGAGATGTTAATTGCAGGACAGGCAGCTTGAAGACATGTGGATTTGCTGATGCTGACTTCATTAAGCCCTTTTTAAGATGCCTCAATATAACATCTTAATCTGATGATGACAGAGCAAAGCTTTCAAAGAACACCAACGTTTCCCTGTCTTCTGGTGTTTATATTTTTACACAAAGGCCAATTCAACAAATTACCAATAAATATCCATTCAGATCAGTAGCTCCACTTTTATATTTCCTCCCATTTCCCTGAAGAGGTAATAAAACATTCAATGAGTCCACTGACTGCATAAAGATTCTGTCTTTTCTATAACTTCTCATTCTCACTGCATTAAGAATTCCCTGTCTCAGTTAACTGGGAAGACTTCACTCTAAAAATGGATCTTGAAAGACAAGTTTAGTAATAAAATCTTTAACATGAACTAAAAAAAACCCCAAAAACCTAACAATCTCTCCTTTATCTGAGGACTTGTGTAGGAAAA